CCCTGGCTGAGGGGGCTCACTGGGGCCCCCCGTCTCCCTGCCCAGGCTGCGGGGACACCACGCAGACATGGTCGGCTACGACCCTGAGGCCAAGTGCGTCTCCACGCTGGAAGCAGCCGCCGCAGGATCAGCGGCCGGGTTGGTCAATCGGGTCCTCGTCAGTCCCTTGGATGTCATCAAGATCCGCTTTCAGGTACCTTCCTCGCAGCCAGCTCAGGGACAGGTGGCGAAAGAGCCTCTTGGAGAGCAGAGCCGGATTTGTCCTAGATGAACAGGTCACTAGTGCAACTGGAGAGCATTAAATCTGCTTGTCAACCCTCACCTACGTTGTACGCAGGTTATGCAAGATAGCAGGGATATCTTAGGGCTACTATTTCTGTTTATTTAACTTATCTTGTATATTTGAATGGAATCTTTTGTTTTTCTTAGGGTTTTTTTTTCCTCTTTCACTCTCTTTTTCTAAACAATTGAAAGTATTTTCTCTGTTTCTGTCTAGCTTCAGATTGAGCAGCTCTCCTCCAGAAACCCACTAGCTAAGTATCATGGCATCTTGCAAGCTGCACAGCGCATCTTCCGGGAGGAGGGGTTGGTAGCCTTCTGGAAGGGCCATGTCCCTGCTCAGTTCCTTTCAGTTGGCTTTGGAGCTGTCCAGGTAAGGGGACCAGACACCAGCCAGGCCCGGTGTCGTAGGACTCTCTGCTTTGCTGCGCTTCAGAGTAGCTGCATCGGCAGATGCAGAAGGATCCTGGTTTGCACTGTATTGATGCAAGCCAGACCCAGTTTCAAAGATGTATCGCTATATAATGCTAATCTATAATTCCTGAATTAATATTCCTGAGCTTCCTGAATAGAGCTTATTTCTGTTTGGCCAGCCTGGAGCACAGCTAAGAGTACAGCAAGCTCAGGTCTGTCTGTTCCTGGTGTCACAGACGAGCCCTGCTTGTTCCTGACACTTAGCTTAGCTGTTTACTTTCCAAGTGTGTATAGTTTCTTTCTTTGGTTCACTTTTTCCTTACAAACTGGTAGGGCGGGAAGGGCAGTGAGGCTGATGAACATCTTTTGCACAGCACTGTTATCCTTACTTTGTAAATATTAATGACATGTTTTATGATTGCTGGTTGAAAGAGTCATGGGCAGCATATCTGTAATACAGTAAATACTCTTCGGGCTATGTAGAGCATTAAAATGAGATTTTCACGCTTCTCAACGTGAGACTGTGTTGCCAGCAGTATTGGAGATCAGAATACCCCAAGCATTCCTTAGTTTGCTGAGTGATTTTTACAGGGCATTCTTTGAATAAATGCTCCAACAGGTTGCAAGCTGGAGGCCTTTTCAAGGACAAAGAGAGAGAGGGTGGTTGCAAGTGAGGGGTGGAGCCCTTTGATGAAATGAAAGAACAGCAGGAGATCCCTGTCAGTGATAAGAATTGTTTCCTTGACCTATGTGTGTTTGTTTCTGTAAGTTCATGGTGTTTGAGAGCTTGACAAAATTGGTGCACAACGTCACATCATACAGTGCCCGTGATTCCTTCGTGCACTTTGTCTGCGGCGGACTAGCTGCTTGCACAGCCACTGCTGCAGCTCAACCTGTTGATACGCTACGCACCCGCTTTGCTGCTCAGGGTGAGCCAAAGGTATGGGTTAGGAATTCAATTTTTAGAATTATTATTCATGATAGTTGCAATATTTCGTTTATATGAACACAGGAAGTTTGAAAAGTATGTTACAGCCTGTGGTTTAACATAAAAGAACAGGTACTGTTACTGGGCAGTATTTGCATTGTTGCCGAGTTATCCTCTGTGCTGTTGACATAGCTTTTTTAATTATGTTTTACTGCCCCTTGTTTTGTTTGACTCCTGACAGGTGATCCTGTCAGAAAGAAGGAGAAACTGTCCTTATCAGGATAACTTGATTCTCATTTTGGCTGTTGGCCATTTAAAGAATACGCTCCTTAGTCTGTTGCACATTGCATGTTTGAAACTTTCCACTTACAGAGAGTCTTATTTAGGTGATGGTGAGGATGATACTTGAAATTAGTCGCCTTTCACCTGTGTTTTGTATTCTTATTTAGAATAGAATTGGTTTCTGTGCTAATTAAGTCTGTTATTACTGGAGGCATATGAGTTTGTATCAGAGCCGTTTCTGCACAGGGCTTTGACTTAGCGTGCAGTAGAATCACAGCATATTCATATGAATTCTGTTACAGGAGCAAGCAGAGCTGTTAGGAAAAAAATAAATACTTATGTCTGTGATGGAAGTGATCGCAGTCTGTGATTCTCAGCTCTGTACCTTGTTTCTTCCCCTCAGAGACACAGCCTCGATGCAGGATACAATTTCAGTCCAGACCTTTTAGTGCAGACCTAACAATATGGTCATTGAGTTAGTCTCTGGTGGCTAAGACATAGGTTTAGGTTGTCAGTTTACTTATAAGAGTCACAGAGGCTTAGCAGAGAGTACTGTATGAAGATGTGTGAAATGGCTCTTACTCCGTGCTAAAAATCAGGCAGTTGTATTTTGAGCAGTGGGAAATTCCTGTCACCTTTACCAGGAAATAACCTGACCATTGGATTGCTGGTTTTAAGCTTATTTCATTAGGCATCTTGCCTCTTCTTTATTGTCTAGATCTATCACAGCCTTCGCCATGCAGTGGTGACCATGTACCAGACAGAAGGGCCTTTGACTTTTTATAGAGGTTTGACCCCCACGATCGTTGCTGTCTTCCCATATGCTGGTCTCCAATTCTCCTTCTACAACATATTGCAGCAGTTTTCTGAATGGGTGATTCCAGCTGAAGGAAAGAAAGCAGGTAGGCATTTGGGACAAAGGTGTCTGCGGTCTTGGAGGGAAAGGGAGAATGAATGCTAGTTTGGGAGACTGACATGAGCTTAGTTTTCTGTCCTCTCAACCTCTTCAGATCAACATGTGACAAATCGCTCCATTTCCCATCTCTCGTTCTTACACCTGCACAGGTATTACAAAGATAAGTGCAATGCAGTTTACAAACGAGTCACGTTATAGAATGACTGTGGTGGAAACTTAGGTAGATTGGAAAGCAAAGTGTCACAGGTCTGGACGCTCTTTCTTGAGTCGCGTTACGTTACGAATACTGTGGGAAGACCACGTTGGCACCATTTTCTCTCGGTTTCATTAGTGCTTTGGGGACAGGACTCTCATATTTCCCAAGGAAATCTGCCTATAGATTGCAGTAGAGCTGTTGCAGCAGAAAATTCATTTAGCCTAATTTAAAACTCCCAAGCTCTTGGCTTGATATGTTTATGTTGATTTCTAGCTGCATTATAGGAGAACCTCATCCTGATGCAGACTATCACTTTGACAGTTCTAGAAACTAGTTACTCCCAGGGAGAGACAGGGTGTCCAACATCAGCATCTTTTTGTTCCTCATCAGAATTTCTTCAAATGATGGAACTAGTATTTTCAAGATCATGTCTGCGTATTTTTACAGAGAGGCAGAGGCTGATGCTGGTTTAGCGCTGTGAACTTGCGTTTGTCAGGAAGAAGACCAATATCACAAATCTCGTTTCCCACTGGCCTGTGTGAAATCGTCAGGCGGTGTCACCTTATGACTTACGTTGACTTACTCTGAATTGGAATGAGTAATCAGGAGTGCAAGATTTCCAGTGGCTTTTACCTGAGGGGCATAAAAACTTTCCTATCCACTAGTGACAGGTTATCCTTTGTTTCTTTTTTATATTTTCACTTGGCAGAGCAAAAGAATGAATCAGTGTAGTGAATCAAGATGAGTTGTTATGCTCTGGCTCGAATGGACGTTGTGAGCCTCGTGCAGGACATACAGATTGAGGTTCTGGGGCCTGTACTATGCAGAAGAGACAATGTAACTTTAAAGAGTCTTTCTGGCGTTATTGCCCGTGTATAAATGATTTTACCTCTCATTACACTGTAATCAGAACTCCCTGTTAATCCTCGCTTTTCCCTCTCTGCTACCCTCTCCATTTCTCTGCTTTTCAGGCAACGTTAAAAACCTTGTTTGCGGCAGCTGCGCCGGAATCATCAGCAAAACCCTCACTTATCCTTTTGACCTGTTCAAAAAACGACTGCAAGTGTGTGGCTTTGAGCATGCCCGGTTAGCCTTTGGGCAGGTGAGAGATGTTTGAATTGACTGGTTTTCACGATTTGGGATTCAGATCAAGGCAGATCCGGAGCCAGTTATCCCTAGAACGCAGTGATGATTCGCCAGTGGTACCTGTTTTGTTTGCATAGGGGTTGGGAGCTCCCAAAGAACTTCTGGGAGCTAAGCATTGTTCTCCCTTATTAACAGGAATAGTTACATGAATAAGCAGGATTTATTTTATAATGTTGTCCAACATACCTGTGCTCTGCCTTCTCATCCATCTCCATCAGGTCAGCTGTCTTGGAACTGAGGGTGAGTTAGGCAGGTGAAAGGATTTCAGTTTACTTGATTTTTCTATTTGCTGCTTGGTATTTGTAATTCAGGACCGAATGAAAAGCAGAGGATGATGCTGGCTTCGTGCTGGGATCTCCTGTGTGCCAAGATCCTTTTCTGCAGTGAATATTTTGATAAAAGATGTAGACACCAAAGTGTTCAGTATATGTCTTATGTACCAGAACTTCCTGAAATTCTAAGTAAATTAAATACTTCCGGTGTTCTTAAGCACTGTCCTTATTACCTCAAAATACACTTTAAAAGAAATGCAGATCTTTTAAGGAACTATCTATTTTTCCCCAAACATGGTAATTTTCTTGTCTTCAAATTCCTTGGGTCTGAGAAGCAAACCAGTCTGACCAGAGTCAAGAAACTCTGGGAGTAGGAATTATAAGTCCTAATTCATTGCACTGGATGCTTCTCCTCTTCCAGGGAGGTACAGAATTTGTTCTTAAGCACTGATGTGTCACAAGATGTTAAACCTTCATGACGACATGCAGATAATGAATCAGAGACTTTAAATGCTGTAGCTGTGTTTTATTTCCTTCAGAAAACTGAAGAGTTGCCCCTCCTTGGAGAGTGAAGGAGATGGAAAGCAATAGCAGCATGATCTGAAATAGTTATTCCACAAACTTGTACCATAAATCATACATGCGACTTTAGCATAAAGCATATCAGGCACTCAGTTGGAATGACCTGCATAAGCTTTTACTGATACAGAACGTGTACTTTGTCTCTACCAACGTTCTCTAGCAAACTGACTCTCTGGCACTTTCAGTTTTATTAATATCCAGAAAGGCATCTCCAGGCTTCATGTTGTGATTATATTTCTCCGAAATAGTATGGGGCTGTTTTCTTTCCCAGGTGAGGTGTCCTTGAGTTGTTGCTTGTTTCACCTTTCACCACTTCTCTGCCAGGTGCGGATATATAGGGGTCTCCTGGACTGCGTAAGGCAGATCATGCGAGAGGAGGGCCCGGGTGGATTCTTCAAGGGCCTTTCCCCCAGCTTGCTCAAGGCTGCTGTCTCCACTGGCCTCATCTTCTTCTGGTATGAGCTGTTCTGCAGCCTGCTCTGTGCTCTGAAGAACACTGATACCGCTAAGAGGAAGGAAGGCTGAAAGGGGCATGTATTTGGCTACCTGGTATCCTCCTGGAGGAGAGAAACTGATGGCTTTGCTCTGTCATGAGCGTGCTGGAAATGTCAGAGCTCCAAACATAAGAAACGGCCTGCTGTGACTGCTGTGACCATACAGGAGCAGGTGACTGTGAGTTCTGCTGAGGACGCTGAACTGCTTTGCTGGAAACTTGCAGAGAGCACTTTTTTTGTTCTGTCTCCTCTTAATATGAGCAGATGCTTAGCAATGGAAAAGAAGGAAAAAAAAAAAAAAGCGTTAAACTACCTAGCAGAGGCTCTGCTCTGAAAAGGCAGCTGATAAAGTGGGGGAATTCTTACACTTGCCCTGGATAACAGAGAGGGATGCTGGCTTAGCTCGTGCTGTTTAACCAGTGTTGCTTCTCGTCGCTGCATCTGCACAGCTTTATCTCCCTGCTTATGGCCTGCATTTGCAGGATATTCTTATCTCTGTGTTTTACAGGTAACTCTGTACCACTGCTATTTTGAAGTCAGTTAAACCCTCCTTAATGTGCATGGATCCTTGGTTTTCCTTTTCTTTGCTGCCAGCTGCTTCTCTTGATTACCACTTGCTAGCTCCGCATCCTCAGCTGCCTTAAACACAGTATCTTCTGGTGATTCATGCTGACCCAAACTTGCTCTTCCTCAGACTCTGGTGAGCTTGATTGGGTCTTGCAAGTGTCCATTTCTCTTTATCTATGTCTTGCCATGCATCACTTAGGGTTTTGCGTTGCCTTAGTCATTTTTTCACAAGTAGACCTGCACATTAAGAACTCTGCTCTACGGGGGATTCGACGCACAAGCCCGATTCTTGCTTTGGGCTTCTTTGCTTCCCTGCTGCTATGCAGTGAGTAAACAGATGCTGTATATAATTCTAGAGGCAATATTTAATCTATGTTAAAATAATGAAGGAAAGTCCTGTGGAAACTAGTATGTATACTTTTTTTTTCTTTTTTTTTTTTTTAACTACCACCTTTGAATGTTTTAGCCAGTATGTCTGAAGTGGCCTCAAAACATTTCTAAGCCTCTGTTCTAGAGTGGTGCTAACAGATAAAAATGTTTTGACAAGATCAGCCAAAGTGAGAAGGCTGACCATGTCAAATTGGAATTGGTTGACATAGCCCGGAGTTTGACCAGAAAAGGATGATTGAATCATGGTTGGAAAAGAAGTGTTTTTCTGAAGTTTAAAAGGTTTTACAAATGGTGAATTAAAAAAAAAAAAAAAAGGAACCTGATTTACGTAAGAGGAAAAAAGGAAAAAGGCTTTGTTCTTCCTCTTTTATTCTCTGTTATTTCAAGCTGAGCAGGGTGTGGCTGGATCAGTGTGTGGAAGGCAGACTTCCAAGGAAAAGCCACTGCAATACAAAAGCATGTTAGTCATCTGGTGAATGGTGGAAAGGGGAGAGCACTGCAGTTATTTAGAGGATAGCTTGATGGTTCTTTGCATGATTCAAAGTTTTTTGTGTCTCTTCTGCAGTACTCAAGAGTGTTAATCCCAAATGGCCTGGCCAAATTCCAATGTGACCAATTCCATTCTGTTGACGTAACTTCTCCTGGCGATTTTGATTGCATATCAGCGTTACTCACTTATCCTGACTGTTAGGAGAGGCTCTTTTTAAAGAGCAGCTGTTTCACTGGTGGGTGAAATATCTAGTGAGATGCCTTACTAGCTTGGGACAAATAACTTTGTGACTGCTGTGATTTGAGATCTTTGAGTGGAAAATGACTGAGTTTCACTGCAGGTGGCTGTGGCAACTGCATAAAATTAGATTCACTGAGTAGTGTCAATGTCAGGTAGGAGACATACATGAGCCTTTAAGAGGGAGTGTTAGCTGCATGCAGTGAAAAAAATCAGCAGTTTTGCTTAAAGGAGAAAACGCAAAGGATGGTGAGTAAGTCTTCTCAAAGTGCCTCATTCCCATTGGCTTTTTTTTAAGTTACTTAGGCTCTTCTGAGATCTCCCCAAAATCTTCTTAACAATATTTTGTCTTTGTTTAGCGCTGTTCATCTCTTGTGCTAGGAAGACATCCTAACCTGTAATGACTTGGAAGACATCCTAACCAGTAGTGAACTTAGCCTTGTGACATCCTTCTGAGGCAGCGAAATGCTTCATTTCAAAGCAGGCACGAACAGGTTGGGATTGTGACTGCCTTGACTAGTGGTAGAGAGGAACGCTGTCAAGCTTAGCAGGGACAGTACTGACCTTAGCAGAAAATTTTTCCATGCTGACCTAGACTTCCATATCCCTATAGGAAATCTGGCCTATCCATCCTGCCTAAACATTACAAGACTCTTGTTTTCCATTTTATGTCAAAGAGCTGCTGTTAAACTGCACACAATAGAAGGAAACTGGTTAGGAACTAAGTGATGGGAATGTCAGCCTCTGGAATAAAGAGTGATTTGCATTGGTTGTCATGAGGACAAAGAATTAAGAACAGAAAACTGTGCGCTCTGCTAGGATGATGTTCGCTGACTGTGCTCCGAAGCTTGACATGAGCGAGGCTAACCGCTTCAGGATGCCTACAGCTCGACTGCGCCACAGAGCAGGCAGCATGGCGAGTACAGAACAGATCCTCCTGTTCCAGATCTCGAGGGGGGACAAATAAAAGCAGTTCTCCATTCTGCATTGTAACAAATAGCAAAGTTGGAGTTTAAGCTCTGTGGCAGTCGGTGAGCTGCTTGTGCCGGTGTGGCCCAGGCTCTGGAGGAGGCGCCCCATGGTCAGAGCGCCTTGGCACGTCGCCTGGTTATATATCTCCTTCTGGGCTGTTAAGCAGGAATGTCATCCTGTGAGTGAAGGAGAAAAAAGTAGCGACCTCAAACTTAGAATATTAAAAGTTACGTCCGACAGTGGCTTCATCGCTCACCCTCAGTCGGCAGCATCTGTCTCTGAGGGATTTCTGATGTGCACTTGGCTAACTGGGAGTCGCTGTAGTCAGGGAAATGACTGTAACAAGAACATTGTTTTCTGTTCAGGAATGAGACAGGTTCAGCGCAAAAAACTAGCAGGGTAGGTCTTATTTCTGATGATGCTCTGGCAAAACCCGCTCGTACTGTTTGAAGCTCCATTTCCTGGAATTAGAGGAGCAGGAGGTGGGAGAGGTCTGCAGTCACCTTGTTCTTCCACCTGCTGGAAAGAAACTGGCCACACCAGTTCAGTCCAGCTTCAGGTGACTCAACGTATCGGGTGACTCGCTGGGAGCCTGTGACAGAGTTCGACTGTTAGGGATGGCTGGGATTTCACTCAGCTGTAATCCTATCAGGGGGGATTTGCGTTGCCTGAAATTCAGCTCTCAAGCTGCTCAGCAGTTGCGTTTGTTTTCTGCTAGTGCCTTTTACCACCAGAATGTCCAAAAGCACTTTAGCCGGCAAAGCGTTCGACGCCAGTCGCGCGGTGGGTGTTGCGGGATCCCCTGTAGCTCCTAGCCAGCCTTGGACAGGAGCGCTGTTACGCACAAAACCTGTGCTGAATGCACTGTTTCCTGTAGCACTGACCGACTCTCTGGATTCCTACGACAGTGATGTTTCTTGGGATGCTCGGCCAGGGCTGCGTAGGGTGATTTGTAAAAAGAAATGAATGTCTCAGGGTTAGTTGCGGAGTGGACTGTTTTTCTCTTTAAGTTTCTCTTGTGGTGGCAGAACTGTAATTCTTTGCGGTGTTTCTCTGTTGTCTGGGTGGACTTTTTGCAGCTGCTGAAAGCATCAGATCGCAACGCGTGATGTATGCCTACCTTTAAAAAGATGGAATATTAAATATTTTGTTATGCTTATGTCCGGCTGCAGTCTTTCTCGTTCCTTCACTCCTAGCCCGTGCACGCGGGGAGGCAGCTGGACCACGCAGGCCAGCTGCGGCCCTCCCGCTGCCTCGAAGGGAGCGTAGTCGGGGCTCACGATGTGGGGTGGCGGGAGCCGCAGGCTTTTTACTTCCCAGTCGCGGTTCCTGGGCGCTGGTCACCAGCGGGCAGCGCCGTCCCATCCCCTCCGCGACGCTTTGGATCTCAAGGCTCAGAACTGCGCAAACGGGGATCGTCCGAGGGGGGTTGCGCAGCCCGCTCTGACTGCTGTGCTTGAAAGGGGCTGTCAGAGCCACGGGCGTTTGAACCTGGGCCACAGATCCATGGGGGGATGAGTTCACGCTGCGTTGCGTGCAGCCAGGCCGCACAGCACTGCAGAAAACGTTCACAAACTGCTTGTTCTGCATTTCCTGAGGCTCTTCCCTGGTGCCGGCAGCCTGGCTGCTCTGCTGTTATCTAAACGCTCTTGCCACGTGAAATCTTTTGAGAGTTTGGAGACAAAAACGTGGAGTATGTTATACCGCAGTCTGCAAGCTCTTCTTATAAAGAGTTGGTGGTGTACATCTTCCCTTTCCTGAATTTTTTCACTTTTTTCCCCTTTTTTTTAATATATATTTGACATAATCCTAGACAAACTTCACAGCAACAAGACTTAAGCGGGCAGCTCGGAGCGGCTCTGCTGGGCTCGTCCGGCCCG